TCTATCTATCTATCTATCTATCTATCTATCTATCTATCTATCTATCTATCTATCTGTTAAGTAGTAATGTACACGAAAGAGCTTTTTCCCTTAAGCAGATATGATAAAGAACAGAGGTAACACAATGATGTTGAGATAGCTATAAGTAATTACTACACCAAAATCACTGTCGAATAAAACCACTCTTTTATCTTATGCCAAGGACACTGCAGAAAGTTTCGTCATACCGGCTGTCCATTAGGGGATCGGGTTGGGTCGGTTTTACTTGCCAGATTTAGGGCGCAAAGCGGCTACCCTAGCACAAGCCGATCGCGCCCGACTCGTCGCCTCTAAAACAAACGCGTTCGTTTTTTAGGGCCAGGAGTCGAGCAATCGACCGGACCCAACCTGACCCGACCCGACCAGACCCGCTCCCATTCGCAATGGACTCCCGTATTAAACTGCAGTTTGATATGGTTTGACACTAAATATTGTGTGAGACCATATGTTCTATCTTGGAGATGCAAATAATATGCCAAATGCTACGATTTTGGCACAATTTGACCAAATTTAATCTTAAAAAAATCAAACATGTCCGATTATCCATAGGGCACGTTCGGGTACATAATCGTGAGATTGCGGGCTCGGGGGTTCGAGCCTCAGCTTGGTCCGACGTTGTTTTCTTGGGAAAGGCACTTTACATGAATTTCCCACTTGGCACGGTCCTTTCGGAGATGAATGATAAATTTGGAGGTCACGCTTCTTAAATAAGGGCGTTGAACCTATACCATTTCACCATTTTTTACGATTGGGTACATATAAGCCAATTACGCATACCAAGAGTAGATATGTTTTGCTAGTGAAGCATAGAAGAGGTTATTGTAGGCCCAGGTATTATTTTTCACTTTTATTCCTTTTTTATAAGTTTTTGAGAGTTCGTCAACGTATATTTTTCAAAAGAAACTTGACCTTCTGTGTGTCTGCCTGTCTGTCTGTCTCAGTCATACAATGATATAGATTCTTTCGCATTCTGAAGACAATTTTTTAACAGTAGTAGGTCTATTTGTTTCATGATTTTTGTATAAGAATAATATGTGCCTGGTAAAATTCTGGAAAAACAGAGTTGTAAAAAATTGAAACAACTAAAGAGGGCGGTAGTTAAACTATCACACCATGTTAAAATACTCATACACAAAATAACCCATGAAACCACAATTGTTTGAACCCTAGCGTATCTTTCATATCCGGCTCTAACCGTGAACATAGAGTTCAGGAAAGTTAAGGCCCCCACCTCTCCACTCCCCTCCCCCATTCCCCCC